CTCTTGGGCGTGCTTGTTTCCCAAGAAATGCAAATTGGAATAACAAGGGCTTTCTGTCTAAAGCCTCCACAAATGCAAAATCATTACCCTCTGATTCAGCAACCACTGGAAACCCTTTCATTTGGGGAAGAGAGAAACAATGAATCATGATCAGACATGACTGGGAGCTTTTAATTGGCCTCCAACACTCTGTTCCACCAAGTGGGCTCATGCTGGGGCTTCCCTGACCGGTCGCTGCTGACCCTGGGGTCTTCCTGCACATGCTCCTGAAGGCGCTGCCTTGGAGAGCTCAGTGGCCCAGGCTCTGCAGCCCTGTAGGCTGTCCTGACCAAGTACTGTCACTTGACTGTCACTGTCAAGCACAACGTTACTTTCTTTCCATCCTACATGCAAACAACCAGGACAAAAGCGCAAACCGCTGCAAAGAGTGTCTGTGGTTACACTAGGCCGATGGAGGGGGTCCGTTGGAGCCCTTCCTAAATGGATCCAAGTGGGGCAAAGTCCTATCCAAACCAGCACAGCTGCCTCTTCCCCGTGCCTGCCCAGCCAGGCCCAGCTCTGCCCTTCCGGCCCTCAGTATCAGCGTCGTCACAGACTTGCTCCCCACGCCACCCCTGCTGCATGGGGTCTACATGTGGACATTCCAAATCCTTGCTCCCATAAGGTCATTGGGGTCTACATGTGGACATTCCAAATCCCTGCTCCCATAAGGTCATTGGGGTCTACATGTGGACATTCCAAATCCCTGTTCCCATAAGGTTATTCATGGGCCTAAACCCTACCAGGCTCCCCAGTATGTGTGTGTGGCTGGAGGCCCTTCCCTCTCCTCTGTGCACTCCCACACCCCCACAGCTGCCCAGGTCCTCCTGGCTCTGTGTGCGGGTCCTGGGTGATCTCTCCTGAGCACTTCCACCCCAGCCCTTCCTCCTTGGCTTCTGGCTATCCCAACACTGACCTCATTTCCCTCACCACCTATAAGTTTGCAAATACCTGTGTGCTCACATGATTAAGGGCCAACTACTTGACATATTTCAACAAACTGGTACAGCTCTGGATGGGCTCACCAGACTGTGTCAAGATATACTGAGCACAGCTACGTGGCCAAAGAAGATCCAACAGAACGTGGAAATTGTTGAACAGTATCACTAAGATCACATGCAAGCAAAATCTTGCTGAAAATTATAAAAAATTGATGAGAACAGTACACAGAGAATTGTCAGAAATAGAAGCATAGTTTAAAAATGGTTGTGGCACTAGGGATATAAATGTCAGATGGATCTTGGCTGAAAACAGAGTACCAGGAGGATGTCTATTTGTGTTTTATCAACTATGTAAAGGCATTTGACTGTGTGGATCACAACAAATTGTGACTAACACTGAGAAGAATGAGAACCCCGTAACACTTGATCATGCTCACGTGAACTCTGTATCTAGGCCAAGATGCTATTACCTGAACAGTGAACACTGTATGATTAGAAATCAAGAAAGGAGGGCATTGAGGATGTGTCCCATCTCCATACCTTTTCAATTTATATGCAGAAAAGTTCAACAGGCTGGACTTTATGAAGCAGAATGAGACATCAGGATTGGAGGAAGACTCATCAACAACCTGTGTTATGCAGAGGACACAACCTTGTTTGCCGAAACCGAGGAGGACCTGAAGCATTTGCTATCGAAGATCATGAACTGCAGCCTTCTATATGGATTGCATCTCAACATCAAGAGATGTCATTCCCCTTAAATATCTGTCCCAAGAAGAAAGGGAATAGCAGAGGCCTTTAGGGACCATGGAGCATCAAGAAATGCCAGCAAAACTCCTCTCTCTCTTTCTAATAAATGTGTTTTTAAAAGTAGATTGACATCTGCTGTTACATTTCCTTCTGGTGAACTGCTAAACAGCTCAAGTTATGTTTCCTGTGTAGGCTCTCACACCTATTGGACACAAACTAGGTTGGATTTGGGGAACAGTTTGCAAATTATAAGCACAGGTTCAATAAATCATGTACTCATAAAAAAAAGTCCTCACTATCTGGCCAATAGGCAGCATCATGATAGATGGAGAAAAGACTGAAGTTGTTAATGACTTTATCTTGCTTGCATCCACAATCAACCCTTGACAACCGGAAGTCAGGACTCAAAAGGTGAGCTCCATTGACAAAATCTGCTGTCAAGGACCTATCCGAAGAGTACTGAGCCAACCACAGGCTGCCCAGAGAACAAACAGGTCTGCCCTGGAGAGGGTGAAACCACGTTGTTCCTTGGGAGGCAAGGATTTTGCAACTCTTAACTCACATACAGCTGTGCTTGTGACGATTTGTTAAAGCAGCAACGGGACACTGAGACATGACGGCACACGGGTGCCTGGTGCCCCGAGGGCTGGAGTCTGGAGGCCTCAGGTGCAGGCACATCTACAGGTACCAGAGGCTTCTACGTGCTGGGTGGGCTGTGCCCACTGCTTTGACTGGACAGAACCCTCGCTCCCTGAGCTGGTGGAGGAGATGCTGGGACAACATTACTGGCGGTAGGAGAACCAGGCTGCAGATGTTAAAGACCAGGACCTACATCGGCCATCACTACTCCACCAGGCAGCGGCCGAGCTTCCAAACATTGGGCCGTCAGGAAGACTAACAAAGACGTGCTCCGGAGGAAGTGAGTGGGAGCATTTCTCTTCTCCTCTTTTCCTACAGGAATCATTTCTCGGCTCTGGGAACACATGGCCACTGTCTCTTTACACTGCTAACACCCGTTTACCCCTGAGCTGGGGAGCATGGAGCTGACCACCCCGATCATCAGCAGAGCGAGACGCATGCATTCCGAGGGAAAGTTCTGGAAGAGCCCTCCTGTCTCTTGCACTGTCACAGAATGAAGTATCTCTGAGGCGAGCCTTGCTGGTACTGCAGCGATGCAGCGATGCCCTGTACTCAGTGGTCTTGAGTGCCCCCACCCCCCCGGACTGATCTTCTCAGTGCATTACATCAGCACGGAAAGGGAGACTTTGAAGACAGAAAAACAGATGTAGAAGGTGACATAACGGCCCTGGACCTTGTCATTTATCATGGTGGAGCAGGAAAAGCCAAGACCTGTCCCGGGTCTTTCCTTGTGACTTTGGAGTTATGTGACATCCAAGAATGGGGAGGCTGAAGAGAGGTGTCCCCGGCAGCACCACACAGCTGCTCCTGCTGGGGCAGGGCCAGAGGCCAGGGGACACACCTCGGAAAGACACAGAACCAGGGTGTCTCTGACCCCAGGGATGTGAAACCGCTCAAACCTCTGCCCTCTGTCATCCTTTGCGAAACACTTGTCTCTCTTTGGAGAGAGGTTCCCACCTTTGAGGGCTCAGGGCCTCCAGCACATGGCACACAGGTGCCAGGGACAGAGGAGGGGCCGGGAGCCTCCGTGCCACATCCTTTCAGCTCCAGGGAATATTCCAGTTGCCCAGAACACACTTCTGGTTCTGAGGCCTATTTGCAAATGTTAACACAACCAGCGTGCTTTCTTGATGTGACCAGTTTCCAGACAGGCCCAGGTAAGCCTCTCCAAGTGAGGAAAGACAAGGTGTGGCTGTAAGATGAAGCCAAAGCCACGTTCCTGGAAAATTACCAATAGTCGAACGGGCTGGAAGGATGTCACCAGGCAGGCTGTCGAGGGACAGAGGAGGGGACATTTCCATCCAGGCCTTTCTCAGCAGCCACAGAGGAAAAGCCTTCCAGGTTCCCTCCCAACTAAGTCTAGTTTCCCTTAGCACTAACAGAAGACAGGATGCACCCACAGAATTCCTTCTCCAAGTCCCCCCTGCACTGCTGCCATCTCCCCTTCCCCCCTTTCACAATGCACATTCGTAGGAAGACAATATCAACTGACCATAGACTCAGGCTGCCTGGGCAATGTACGTGGCGAGTGCTCAACTACTGGTCCAAAGGCTGGTGGTTCAAACCCACCTGGAGCTGCCTGGGAATACAGACCAAGAAGTCCACCTCTGAAGAACCAGCACTGAGTATCCCATGGCCACTATCTGCCCTGACACACTTGGGGTCACCATGAATCGAAGTCATCATCAAAAGACGAGAGCCAGACTGTCACCTCACAGGGCTGGTCACGGGCTGTGGCAGAAGACTCTGCTGCAAGGTGGGCCGGGGGAGCACAGAGTGGGTGCCCACAGGTACTCAGGGGATGTGCATTTTCCTCACAAGAAGTCCAAGACGGACGGGCACACGTCCATGTATGTCGTTTGGAGGGAGGGGGGAAATCCATTACCCCAGCGACTTGAGAGGGAACTATCTAACCCGTCGCTAGAAACAGTACAGGTTGGGTGCACGCCCCAAGGCCAGCCCAAACCGTGACTCTGGACAGCGTCCACAGAGGGATCAGGTGACTTGGGGACTACAGACCAAGAAGGGGACCCACGCATGGCAGTCCACCTGGGATCCCCGTGGTACCTGTGCTGACCAAACGGAAGTCACATGCAGCTCACCACGGGTGACCACCACATCCCAAACCAGCAGCCATCAATTCCCTTCCAGCTGCCGAAAACCTCTGCTTCAGAGCAGAGCTGCACCCCACAGGGCTCTCAATGGCTGATGTCTGGCATGGAGAGAGCCAGGCCTTTCTTCCGAGGCACCCTCAACAGCTTGACCAACCAATCTTCTGTGAGTAGCCCAGCACTTAGCCTCCTATCCCACCCAGGGCACCCTCTCCAGCTGCCCTTCTCCCTACACCAACCTCATGTCCTGCAGACCAGTGCTGGGCTCTGGAGGCGGGAACGATTCATACTTGATTTTTAACAGAAGAGCAGTTTGGTTTTAAACAAGGCCCAGTGAGTGTGGCAATGGCTTAACCATTCAGATGCCGTTACTGAAACAAGTGAGTATCAGGGAGCACTCTGAATGAGCCACAGAACCCCAGGAGTAAGATCCACAGGAGATGGGCACGGGGAGGTCGGGTCACGGAGGGGCGGGAGGTCAGTCAAGTACCCCGCACTGGACATGCACCAGGAAGGATATCTCGCAGGACTGTCCTTAAGAGCATTTAGGAATCCCGTCTGCTGGGAACCTGTGGAAAGGGAAGCCAGAATTTAGTGTGCAGACATTCACCTCCAGAAATCAACAGCTTTTATGCGAGATGTGCTCTCATTTGCATATAGACAATAGGTATCTAAAGCTCAATTAAATAATTGTGTTCCCTAAGGGCTCCCGCACCCAGTTCGCAGCTCAGAAGCTGAGCTTCCACAGAACCAGCCAACAGGATGGCAGAGTGGTAATCAGGGCCCACATCTGCAGGAGGCCTTTCTATAAAAGCAGATGTGTGTCTGCATATTTCTCCATAAATTTTCCTGATTACTCCTTTGTTTGCCTCAGTTTAATAGGAAAACAACCCTGGGTGCTATCCCGTTCCCCCCACCCCTGTCGCCCCCCCTTTAAAAAAAAAAAAGAAAAGAAAAGAAACACTGTTTTCCCAAAGTTTGTTAACTTTGGACCCTGTTGGTCCCTTACTCCAGGCTACACAGAAAAGATGTCTTTCTTAGAGTTCAGCGTAAACAAGTTCGTAATTCTCAAGTTCAGTGTGGACTCCTGAGTTCAAGGCATTTTAACAGTAGCTCCCTGTGTGAGCAAACATTTCAAGGGCTTAGCGGAGAATGCAGCTGACAAGAAGAGGTGTGCATTTTCTGTGCTGGGAACATGCTTTCTAAAAGTCAGAGAGAGGCAGGACCGAGGGGGACACCACCGTCTCCTGCTGTGTCCTGTGAGGCTGGCCTGTCGGGACAGGAGTGGCCCTTGTCCATCAACTTAAAAGAGCACTGATGTGATTCTGACCCATCTCCTCATGGGTTAGATTGGGTGTGGTGTGACATGGGAGTCACCAGCCAGGTCCCTGGCCATGTGGAATCCCGGCCAATCTGTGGAAAGGGTCACTGGTTTGCAGGTGTCCTGTATTTCCTCCATGCCCAGAGATGGGATGAGGCTCCGAGAAGTGACAGCAGAGACACCAGGCACAGAAGGGACAAGGGGAGGTTCCAGTTTAAAGTTCTCCCCTCTCTGCCAGGCCAGCAGGCAAACCTGGCCAGGGATGTACAAGTTCCCTGCAGGCCAGCTTGGCCTTGAGACAAAACTGGGTGCTGAAGACATGCTTTCTTCCCTGAAAAACTGCACTGCTACCCTACACTTCCCTTCCTCTCCTGGGATGTCCCCTCCTTGGGGCTCCCAGGGGGGTAGTGCCTCCGACCCCCTGGCCATCTCCTCACTCAGAGAGGCTACCTAGTGGTAGTGAGAGCCTGGTGATCTGGCCTCCAGCCATCCTCAACTGCTCGGGCCTTGGCCAGCTTTCTCCAAATCACAGGGGGTAAGAGCAGCCATTTAAACCTTTGACCCCTCTCCACAGTGTCCTGTGCCAAGGCCAGCTGGGGGTGGGGGTGTGTGTGGTGTGTGTAGGACTGTTTTATGGGGAACAGAAGAAGGAAAATGTAAAATCTCTATCTGCTTTCGCTCAAAACACCCAAATCTTTGACCATGTCAAAATACTCAAAACTGCAAATATTTGACCAAAATAGAACTTGTAGTCAAAGAAATTTCCAATGCTTTTCTGGAAGGAGACTGAACTAGCACTGAATTTGCTGGCGCTGCGGTGAGTGGCACTCAGGGAAGAGGGGGATACAGTGGACCCCATGCTGGGGCACTGCAGGCCCCCGTGTGTGTCCCCAGAGAGTATGTGGATAGAGTAAGAGCACACTGACCCCTGGTACCCAGAATGCAGTGCTGAGGCCATAACACCATGAGGAAGGCGCCTGAGAGCGTGAAGGGTGCTGTAAAGATGCCAGTGGCGGCCATCGAGTCCATCTCGACGCAGAGTGACCGCATGTGTGCCCATCGGTTATTAGTGCCACTGGCACATGGGAGTGGCCAGGCCATCTTGTCTGGCTGTGTCAAATGATTGTGCCTTTGGCCATTCCAGCGTAGGGTCCTGGGCTCTCTTTCTGCTGGGCTGGTCCCTCAGCCCACAGACAGGCCTTGGCTGTGTGATTCTGGAAGCAGGCCTCCGAGGGCCAGTTCCTGAAAGAGTGCAAAGGCCTCTGACAGGAGCTCATCTTCTTGTAAACCCACCAGTGCAGGCTCTCAAGCATGTTATAAATCATGTCAGATGCCTGAAAGGACTGTGGTGAGGAGAATGGGAACCTGAGTTTGATATCCATTTGAAAATCTGGGAGAGTCCATTTAACATTCAGATTTGATTTATCAAAAAGCAGCATCTTGCACTCTGCCTCTCCTTCCCCATGAAACAAACCCCTTAAGAGAGGAGGGAAGGGAATTCTGCACCCCAAACTTCTATCTTAGTACTGTCACAGCTGTGGAAATGAGGCACGCTTCCAGAAACATCCCTGAAAAAGGCGTTGGGCTTGCTGATGGGAGGGTATGCTTTAGGATTTGGGCAAGGAAGAGGACAGGCCTTTAATATTGCTAATGGAAGGGAGGTTTAAATGCTTACACTTATAGTTCAAAGCCTTTTCATCACTCTCACTTGTAGGAAAGAGAATGACATTCCAAGCTATGACCTTCAGAACAGGGAGGAGGAAGGACACTTACTTACGCAACACATTAAGAGCCACTCTAATTTTAAGTACAGTTACTTCCTTTATAAGCCAGGGGTCGTTTATTCTTGTTGTAGCAAGTAATCGAAAACTCGTATCCAATGGCTATTTCTAATAGATACAGAATTCATATAAAAAATTCCAGTTTTATCCCTCAACATTTTCACTGCCCCCTCTACCTGGATAGGGTGTCTACTGCTGCCTCTGTATGACATTTGAAAAAAGTTTTGGGGACAGAGAACTTTTCCAACTGGTGTCATTGGTATTCAATGGGCAACACTGGTATTCAGTGGGTATCATTAGTATTCAAGGAATATCATTGTAGCATGTTGTCTTTTGGGCAACATATGGGGATTGTTCTTCTGGGAAATCTCTTAGCAGAAGGGAAAGTGAAGCCACAAAGGTTTGAATAGGAAAGCGGGTGTCCAGGAGAAAGTGTTGTTAGTGAAATAAAACCCTGATTCAGTTGTGACCCTGGAAACCGCTAGTGGAAGGATGGCGGGGGGACTGGGAGTGAATGGGGGGTGAGAGGGTGGGATGAAGAGGGATGGAGGCAGAAAGGAAAAGGGGACAGGCTGGAAGTGAGGAATGGAACAGGGAGAAGGGGAAAGAGGAGGTGAGAAAACCCAAGATGATCAAAATATTAAATCAAAATCAAATCATCAAAGCAAAGTCAGGCCAGTGGTTACGTACGTAATCTGATTCCGCCAGCATACTTACGAAGAATGACGTGGGTGGTAACGAATGCAAATATAAAGACTGTCAGAAAAGACAGAGATAAAATAAACATATAAAAAAATCTGTAGTTTCTTTTCCCCACACAGTTGCCTACCCAGGGACAGTGGTGATCAAATCGTTCTGAAATGAGAGGCAGAAAAAAAAAAGAATATGGAAATCAATTAATAAAATGGGTTTTTTTCACTTGAGGGAGTAGCAATCCTCTTCCCCCCTTAGTATTCTGAACTGCACAACAAAATGATACCAGAGTAAGTATTTACAAATTGACCCCTGGAGAAATGGTTAGCCTCAAGACATTTCATTTCCACTGTTCTTTCAAGAGACCTCAGGAATTTACCAAAAACCAAAACAAAAAACATCATCTCAAATGGCAACTTAATGAAAGAGAAATGTAAATTCAATTTTAATGAGAAAAAAATATTTCCCTCTTCCATTAAAAAAAACAATCTTTGTATTAAGAGAACAAGATGCCTTTTGAGATGGTAATGACACCATCTGTTATCTGTGGGGCTGAGCCAGTCTCCCTTCTCAGTAAGGAGTCATAGAAGGCGGGGGCAGGACAGGGTCTCAGGCTAGTTACAACTGTTTCCTATGAAATCTCCTCTATTTCAATAGCAGTTAAGTTGATATCATCTTTGTAAAAAAATACTGTATTGGTTGTTTGGGTGGAAATTTACACAGCAAATCAGACTCCCACTTGACAGTTTCTGTACAGGTTGCCCCAGTGATAACAGCTGTTACTTTCACAAGGCACAAGGGGTCAACTTTCTCTCTAGCTGCATTCTTATTGTTTCACAACTAACTAGTCTCTTCCATGAAGAAATGCAACTAAAAACTCTCCTAGCCCATAATTCTCAGAGTCCTCATGTGTAAAACAGGGACACTTCAGTTATTATGAGGTGAAAGGAGGTCATGCATACCTGGGACGTATTTTTAAAATGGACATAGTTTTGTCATGAGAAGTCACATATATGAGTACTTCAGCCCACCCAACATTCCTAGGAAGAAAATGATTGTGTCCCTAGTTTACAAACGAGGAGACGAACGCTTAGAGAAACGGATGACTGTCTGGGGCCATTCCAGCTCACAAGCAGTGGAACTAGAACGTGAGGCCAGGTCCTTCCAGGCGGATGCTCCCTCTTCCTCTCGCTCAAGCTGCCTCTAGTCTGCTGTAGGAGACAGAGTGCTGGGTGCAAATGTCACGAGATTGCTACTCTATGGGCGTGTAAGTGCCACCCAACATCATCTAACCTTGAGTGTGAACAGAGCCTGTACTGCATTTGTGATCTGTTCTGCGCCTTTTTGGCAGTGGCCAAGCACCTCACTTTGCTGCCCTACTCGGCTGATCGATTCTGAATGACTAGTCAGAAAGCCATCCCAATGCACCCACTCCCACTAGACCGACCGCCTGGCCGACCGGAGAAAATGGCTTCGTTTCTCTTACAGGCCCTTTTCCAAGCCACTTTGTACCCAATTTCTACATACAAGCATATCTCATTTTATTATGCCTTATAGATGTTACCTGTTCTCTCTCCAAACTGAAAGTTTGAGAACTGTGTGTTGAGAAGGTCTATTATAGCTACTTTTCCAACGTGTGCTCATTTTGTGTTTCTACATCACATTTTGGTAATTTTCATAACATCTTAAGCTTTTTAATAATGCACACTTAATAAACTCTAGTCTCCCTACAAAAAACCCCTCCCCCCCCCAAAAAAAATCCATTGCCTTTGGGTCAATTCCAACTCCTGGGACCCTTCCATGGGCTGTATATCTTAGTAGGAGCAGATTATCTTATCTTTCTTCCATGAAGTGGATGGTGGCTTTGAACTATTGACCTGATTAGCATAGCAACACATTACAAACTACACCACCAGGGCTGTTAGTAGACATATTAGTGTAGTGTAAACATGACTTTTGACGTGAACTGGGAAACAAACAGACAAACAAAAAATCACGTGACTCGCTTTAGGCCTGTATTTACTTTGTCAAGAAGATGTGAAACTTAATCCCCAGTATCTCTGACACATATCTATACTGTCTATGGATTTAAAAAAGCATAGATGACCAGCAATGGTGGGAATAAAATGTCATAAAATCACAAAAGGCAGTTGGTTTCATTATTTGCAGATCAGGTATCAGACATCACGCCTCTCATTTTCTGTGTAGGCCCAAGCGTGTTGTGAAAAGGGCATGAAGAGAACAAGAGGGGCAGTGGTGACGGACAAGCTATAAGTGACCAACTGCTATCTTCAAGTGACATTAACAAGCCACAATCAGCTCCAGTGGAGGATACAGAGAGAAGTCTCAGGGCTCACGGCCTAGTGACAAGCTTGTAAGATGCTGAAAGTCAAATGAAAGTATACTAACATGAGTTACTGAGATAGCAAGCATGGCCAGCTCCACGAAGCTGGGGAAGTACGTCCCTGTGTAAAAACCACTTCAATCCCCCAAGCCATGCATCCATGCATCTGTGCCGTGGAAAGGTTTGCACAGAGAAATGCAAAAAGGAACAGAGGGAAGAAAAGTAATCAGCTACTCTACACTAAAACTCTGAGGTTGTCGTTTTGAGAACCCCCTCTCTTACTGTCTGACACAGGGCAAGAGAAGGAGAGGTGGAAGGGAGGGCCAGCACAGCACAGATTAGGTGGAATCTGATTCTGACTGTGGAAGTTGATCTGGAAAGATCCAGTGTGTGAGGCGGGCTGAGCTTATTAGACGCAGTGAACATTCGCATCATTAAAGAAGAGATGAGGTCCTGAAAGGTGAAGATATGAGATAGCCACACGGGAGACGGAGCAGAGCCTCCTCAGGACACAGTGGGTTGGCTCGGTGATAATGGTGGGCATCGGGGGCTGGCTGGGTGATGGCTGTGGACACCAGGGGGACTGGCTTAGTGATAGCTGCAGACACCAGGAAGCTGGCCTGATGATGATGGTGAACACCCAGGGGGCTGGCTTGGTGACAGACATGGACACCCAGGGACTGGCTCAGTGATGACCGTGGATGTCAGGGGGCTGGCCTGGTGATGACAGTGGACACCAGGGAGCTGGTTTTGTAATGACCGTGGACACCCAGGGGCCAGTTCAGTGACGGCCATGGACACCCTGGGACTGGCTTGGTGATGACCGTGGACACCCGGGGACTGGCTCGGTGATGGCCGTGGACACCCGGGGACTGGCTCGGTGATGGCCGTGGACACCCGGGGACTGGCTCGCTGATGCCCGTGGACACCCGGGGACTGGCTCGCTGATGGCCGTGGACACCCGGGGACTGGCTCGGTGATGGCCGTGGACACCCGGGGACTGGCTCGGTGATGGCCGTGGACACCCGGGGACTGACTCGGTGATGACCGTGGACATCAGGGGGCTGGCCTGGTGATGACCGTGGACACCTGGGGACTGGCTCGGCAATGGCCGTGGACACCCGGGGATTGGCTCGGTGATGACCGTGGACACCCGGGGATTGACTCGGTGATGACCGTGGACACCCGGGGACTGGCTCGGCGATGGCCGTGGACACCCGGGGACTGGCTCGG